AAGTTCCATTTTTCAAGCGAAAGTTTGATGATTATCTAAATTTTTTTTTTGTATCATTGACACTTATAAATTTACAGGTAATTATATATTGTATTACATTATATTTCTGGAAAATTTAAGGAGTAGTTATATAATAATTTTGAACGATCTCGAACAGTCAGATACTTATGACCACTACTGTATAAGCTAAAATTGCATACAATTCATATGTGAATCTAATCCATTTTGATTTATCACACATTTAGATTTTGTATTAGAAGAATATCATAGTACTTTTTGCTGGTTAGGAAAAACGGTAAAGTTGGAAGATCTTCAATATGTAACATATTCTCATTTTATTGAAAAATCTCATGAACTTGAGCAATCTATTAAAGAAGCGGAAAAAATCATATGAGCAAGAAAAAATAATTCTAATGATAATGAATAACTTTTAAAATAGTTTTTTTTTTCTATTGAATTTATCAATAAACTTTGTCGTACATTGTTATAGCTTTGATTAAACTTAGTTTATACACTTTATTATAAAATGAAATTTCTATTTAAAGTTTTGTAATACATAAAATAATAAATTTTAAGATTCGTGTACACTTTATATTAAAATTTTGATGTACACTTATATGAATGTCAAAGATGAAAGTTTATACATGCGTCATACTGATATTTAGGGGCTCTAGCCAAACTTGATCCAGAATTAATTATCAAATATGTGTTTGAGCATTTTACATACTTGAAATTTCGAAACAGTTATAGGGAGATTGATAATTATAATTTTGCATCATCTCAGCTGTGAAGCTCACCATGTCTTATTTGCAATGGAAAACATGGGAATTATGGATTATATAGCGAATAGTATAAAAATGAATATTGTCTTACCTGCAACACTTCAAGCAATAAACTTAAGTTCACAACTGTAATATAGTCTGGTCATGTGAGATCGATCACCCGAAAAAATGCGCAGTTTTTACTCGCAGTATAGTTTGTGTCACAATAAATTATCAAACAAATTTGTTGATCTTACAAAAAAAATAAATAAAATTTTTTAATATAAAATTTAAAATATCTTAACATTGTTTGATAAATACTAACTAGTG